ACACACCGGAACATGTGGCTTTTGACCCCAAGTGTGACTATATCATTTTGCATATGAATAGACGTTTGGCAAAGAGCGTTTGACACCAGGGCTTACGGCTTTGTCTTTATAGAACTGCTTTGTTTTTTTAAAACGATATCCAACCAATGAGAAACAACAGGGGATTATCCCGGGAAATTGGCGTTAATACAATGCATTTGTAGATTTAACTAGTTAGCCAGGAAACTTACAGTCTGCGAGAGACTGAAGAAATCAGATCACGGGAAAAATAATAGCATCGCGGAGGAAACACATAGCGTCGCGGGCAAATTTGATCGCGTCGGGGCCCGCGACGCTGTTTTCGCTTGGGGAGAACACTGAGTATTCAAATAACATCTCTGATGTACAGAGTTACAAATGTATACATCTAAGTACCCTGGATGTAGAAAGTATACAAATAACATCTCTGATGTACAGAGTTACAAATGTATATATGCAAGTACCCACATAAAGAATATATATTGTACACAAATATTCTTGCAAGCCTTCATTTTCACATCAATTAGATACATAATTTAGAATGGGAATCTCCAAGGTTCAGTGAAGTGTGGATTGATTGTTTTCACTTGTACAGAACACGTTTTACACAAACTAGCACTTGTTCAAGATGGTGGTTCTCACAAAAGTTCAGCTGGATTGTATAAATTGGTCGCTAGTGTTTGGTTTGGAGATTGAAATTTATCACAGCCTGAATATAGATGTTTGGGCAATTGGGCAAGCAGAAATTGACCTCATAATGTTGATCATATAGTTTCCTGCACAAATGCCCGTAGTAATACATATAGTATTTGTAAATATATTGATCTCATTCATGACAGTTTGGTTAGAAGCCGTTTTCGACCAAGCGAAACAAAAATAGAAGCATTAACATGTAACTACGATTTGTGGTAATAGGTAATTTCTATCACAGTATTATACTAGACTTAGGACAAGAGACTTTGCTTATTGTTATAGGTACTAATATCCCAGCTGTATGCAAATATGACCTAAGAAAATATCCCCAAAACCTGACATTCAATAAGAAAATATCACTTACAAATGTACTGTTCTACCAATAAATCCGAAAATAGAAGGTATCAGACTATGCTTGCATAAATAAATATAATAGGACTACACAATTCAGTCATGATCTTTTATTTGACATATAAAAGGTAATTTTAAACTCACCTCCAATTCATTCAATCTTTGGATTCTAGGTGTAAACTTGAAATTTTCAACATCAACAGCAAATGGTGGCTGCCAGTCCTGCATCACAAATTATAAAAGGTTGAATTTTTATTTCCAATTACAGAAAAACATTTGAAAAAAACTTTCATATTTTGGAAGAACAATATTTTTTTTTAAATTAGGCTTTAATATGAGAACATAGTGATTACTCAACACAATTCAGACACCATTCCAGACATTTTTTCTATCTGTAAAACCTATCCCATAATACTTGTCCATGTTGTAATGGCTGCCATATTTTGTATGATTAGATTGAATCAATATACAAAAATAAATTGAAATATGACTGCAGTAAGACACAATAATGGAATATTTTCAGATTTAAAAAAATATATAATTAGTAGAATATAATACAGCGAAGTGAAAATGTTAATTTAAAAAAAGATTTAGTGAAAAATGTTTCTCTGATTTTAACTATTTTATGTGTGAATGCTTTTGGAATAATTAAATACAAAAAAATCTCTTCAATAAATACTCAAAATAAAATATAACATTATTTAAATGACTGACATCAAAAGCAATCTAAGAAAGAAATAATAATCAAAAAAGATTGTTTTATCATTTGGGTGGGGATGTTATTAAATGGATTTATGACAACTGCACACATTTCATGAATAATCAAGGAAATTTAAAAAAATTATATACAGTTGATTGGTATAGATAATTATTTGTATGGCAGTTATTTAGTCATGAAACTTAAAATATCTTGAGTAATAAAAAAATTAAATTATAAATTATAAATAAATAAATATGAACATCATTAATAAAACTGTTGAAATTTTTAAGAAAGAAGGTACCATTTTATGGCTAACTACAGTAACTATGGGCAGGAGAGAATGAATATTGTCACAGAAGTCTGAAAATTCCAGAATTTTCAAAAGATGTGTTGCACAACAGCTGAGCCCTTTAACTGGGCTTCCAGCTCTACAACAAATATGCATCCACTAATTTCAGTTGTCTCTGGTCAGACAAAATTGACTACAAAAAATGTAGGCAAAGCTTTACACTTGTTAAAAATTACAATTTTATTCATGCTCGTTTTTATATTTCCAACTAAACCCCAGGCAAAGCAATTGAAAAAGGCCATACTTTCGCCATAGAACATTTTACATTACAGAACCTGCCAACAAAAAATGTTAAATTGCCATCTAAAATCAAAATTTTTATTAAAAATCTACCTGTTTTAACACAAACCTGAAATGTTGGGCGAAAGGAAAGCAGATATTTTTTTATTTCATTAGCCGTAGTTCGCCCTATCGTGAGAATGAAGCCTTCAGTGTGTTGTAAACGTCACGTAGTCTCTGATGATGGCAGCCATGAACTGCATAAAAACCAACATACGACAACATCGGACGTAGCAGGGCAGTGCGGTCGTCCTTTCTTCCTCGACTGAGTTAGTATTTATAATGGCAACAAAGAGGGGCGTTGGTCAACTTCCAAATGTATAATTTAGCATACACATAGACAGACCAAAAACAATTATTTGTACAGTAACTGCAAGCTTATTACTTTGGGAGATCGGTGGACACATTCAAGGCTGCAGTAGTCTTGTTAACAGACAGTTAATGTGGTCAGACAATGGGTTCGCCATGGTGGTTATTCCCTGACAACACGTATCACACGTGAACTTCTTCACATCGGGCGAAAAATGAAGTGTTTGACATCCTAGACTACATTTTTTGGATATAACAGTTATAAAGATTTGTGATATCCCCAAAATGTCACTTACCGGAGGTGGAATTATTTTGCAGAGCCCGGCTTTCTCGGCAATGGGACGGATTTTAGAGATGTATGCGAGGGGGTCCGCGAACTCTTCTTCCGTCGGTTCGAAAACCGGTGCTTCTGGGGGAGGAATAAAACTGTCGTCGGTATCTGCCATATCAATAGACTTCACCCGTACCAAAATTCAATCCTTGAGGCAATTGCAAGATGTAGAATCCCAAGATAGAAGCTATATTTCACCCATAAACAAGGACGCCATTTTGATAATTCTTCACTTGCATGTACTGCCTTCTCACACCTCAGCCGATATCAATCAACCGAAAAATTGAGCGCACAGATGTTCGACAGTATTGGCTTCTAAATTAATTAAAACACATTTCGAAAAAGGTCATATATATATATATATTTAGGAACATATCAATTACAAATATTTATTATGCAATATATACAAGAAATGTATTTTTAATTCGAAAACGTGGAGTGATAATAGTTGGCACGACATTGTGAATCGCCCAAAGGTCAACTTGGAGAAAAATTTTAAAGTACAGTCACGTGATGGGATTGTGTCAAATTTCATTGGACCGTTTATTTCCGAAAAAAAAAGTTAGTACAGCGCCACCATTTAGGTATACCAAAGTATTCGTACGAGAAGAAGGCAGTTGCAGTAACGTAATGTCTGCTCCGTGCTTTCATATCTTATGCCAGTATTGCACTTAGAATTCATGTTTAGGGCTCGGCCCGCCTGTCCCACAGGGCTTGACACTCTAAGTATGGCTCAGTGGTAAGATATATCAGAAAAAATAGAATAATTGCTAAGATGTAATCAATATTTTTTTTATGCTAGATCGTACCAGCCATACTTTAGATCGTCAGGGTCCTGTGATTTGTCCTTGTGTTAATAATTCTGACACCAGTTATCATACGAGGTTGGGCCGATTTTGTTCAAAACTTGTACAATGGCGAAAAAAACATCCAAAATCAGTATTCAACATGTCATTTACCGTTTCTCGGGGAGGTCGTGCACGTTTTCTTTCAAACATGTACTGGTCCTCATCATTTTGTTTCGTGATTTATTTCAAAATGGTCGAGTGGCAGTATTTTTTCAAGTACTAGTATTCTCCCCATTTCTCAGACACACATTTACAGATTTTGTTTAAATTGGTACAACGACACGACATAGTGAATCACATGTTTTTTCTTAGAGATTCTAGATGTAATTTAACTGATTGACGGTCATTTTTGTCATGTCCTGTCATGTTACCAGACAGGCCTTGGTCGATTTTATACAAACTTAGTATGAGCATTATCCTGTCGTTTTCGTCATCTTTCTAGAAAAATAATGTTCGTAAAACGTACTGCCATCCCAGTGAACGTCAGGACATTGTCAACATAAAATCGTGCCCTCTATTCGAAAACAGTATAACGCAGTATAACCAACATTTTGGACATAATACCAACGATTAAATATTTACAGTACGTATACTCGTAAACGCTGTAGTCATTGTTTGGTCGAGTGCATAATGTTACTGTAACAATATGTGTCGGGATGGAATCAGCAAGATATCGTACCTTAAATTGTACCAAGATAGTCTGATCGACCGAATTTAATTCATTATTGAAATTGGTTAAAACGCTAGGATCTAGATTCCATGCGTTAATTAATTAATTAATTAAATTAAACCTAGAACATGTAAACCTGTATGTATCAATTATTAGTTATTGTTGTGCCCTTTTTTCTCGAAACGTTTGGTATGTGAAGAAATGTGAGTCATATATTAGATACAAAAGGCACAGTGTTCACAAGATATCCACAACAGAAGTTTCTTGTAAATAGAACACCACCGAGCAGTTCCGTGCTGGATTTGATTGTAATTTAATTTGTAGTAGCTTAGGGTGTCAATATACCAAATCACCAGCGGTAATCTCGAAGCCCGACCCCTGAATTTGTATTACACCTAAAGCTAATATAAAACGGTAAATACTATCTCAAATCAAAGTAAACATGTACTACGTGCGTGACTCGACCCCTGCATTTGGTTGGTCGAGAACTTGAGCATGTGATTTCTAAATTTTGCGGTGGGAGGAGTATACTTTTCGAAGCCCACATTTCCAGAAAAAAAGTGTACTACAAGAATTTGAATGTTTTGTCAGTAGCAGACATTGTTGTTTTGGACGTTCTGCCTGAACCAAACACACCACATCACAGAGAGATGAAATGAACAGAAACGTTCGAACAGAACAGGAAAACAACGTGTCTTCCAAAGGGCGGTGGTCGTCGGGATACGCATGCGCGAGATATGGGTCTTATATGAACAAAGATGGTGACTTTGACTGTTGTGCAGATACTTATACTTTATTAAACACATAAAATTCCCCAGGAGGAATTAAAATGGTTACATTTACACTAAACAAAACTAGACTAATAATACAAAACATTAAGACTAAAGTAATGATTAACAACAATAATAATAATAATCGAAATAAAAACGAATAAAAAAACATGAATAGTAATAAATCCCACTAACAGCATGATAAAGATAGGAGAAACCATTGTTAAAAAGTAATAACATATAATGCGTTAATGCATTAAGGTTAAACATTTGGAGTGTTGCT